TTTTTTTTTTAAATTCGTTTCTCTTCAATTTTTATTTTTTTAAAATTGTTTTTCGTTTTGAAAACAAGGCAGTGTTTTTATTAAAAAATAATTTTTTTAACAAAAATCGCTGAAAAGGCAGTCTAATTAAGAAAAGATTTTCGGAATTTTTTTTTTAAGGAAAACGCTGCCAGGCCAGCGATTTTCCAAAAAACAGTTTTTACAAAAAGCTGCCAAATTTATTTTTTCTATGAAAACGCTGCCATAGCAGCGATATTAGGTGGAGGAAAAAAATTAGAGTTAAAAAATCACTGTTGTGCCAGCGATTTTAGTGGAAAAAAAATTAGACAAAAATCGCTGCCCTGGCAGTGATTTTATTTTAACGGAGTACACGGCGTTAATACGTGTCAGAGGAAAATCGCTCCGACAGGAGCGATTTTGCTGTTTTGGTTTTAAAAAAATATGATGTGCCCTTTTGGAATTTTTGGCAATTTTTTTTGCCCTTTTGGCTCCGGACTCAGGCATATTTTGGATGTTATCTTCATTCACAAAGCCTTTTTTTCCAACTAATGTTCTAATTTCTGATTGAACTTTCTTCATGGCTTTTGGATTCTTCATCAAAGCTATCATTTCCCATACTATTGTAGATGCATTAGTGTCTGATCCAGCTACTAATACATTCTACAAAGAAATTAACACAAAAAAATAAACACATTCTATAAAATTAGCTAGTTTAATTAATTAGGATGAATCTTCTTAATTAAAACTCATTTGTTTATAGGTAGGTTTAAGATATAGGAGATTACCATGTCAAGTGCTTTTATATCCTCCAAAGTAAAGATCAATTGGTGTTGATTTCTCTTTCTTCAATTGGAGCAAAAGATCAAGAATGTCCCCTTCCATAGATTTTGGCCTATCGGGATTGAGATCAGTGGCGGAGCCACCTTACAATGAGGGGGGTCATCCGACCCCGCTACTAAGAATTGTAAAAACACCATTTTGTTGTACTACGCACAAAATACTACTCACTTGAATTGTCTTAAATATAAATGGATTTTGGGTTAAAAAGGTTCCTTTTTCAAATTTAATTTTTCGATTAAAGAGTTTATACGACTATTGTACATTAATTTAGAAATACATGTAACGTTTTACTCGTTTGTTTATCCAACTCAAATGTATGGAAAAGTATAAGCCATATACAAATTGTTTTTTTTTTAGACTAAATAAATGATTTTTTCATTTTTGAATTCAAAAAGAGTTATGGTCCCCCACCCATGGATGAGTCGGAATTCCAAAACACATGATATTTTTTTTTATGACAATCGTAAAACACATGATATAAGTAAGTATTTATTTACCATTGAAACTTAGGTGTTTCGTCTAACAAGAAAGTAGATATTAAATTTAACGGTGCATTCTTGATTTAATCCCTCCTAAAATTCTAGATAAGTAAACATGAGATTTGTATTTCTCCGGAAACAATTTCTTTATTTGTCAAGGTAAGAATAAAGCTTACATACACTTTTTTTTTTCTTCTCAAAATTCACTTATAAAATTTTACTGAATATGTTATTATTGTTGTTGTTCAATTTAAGCGAAGATATGACATGTTGACAAGTTGAGAGAGAACCATATATTTTTTCATTTCTTTTCGTAGTATAAAGACACTAAGACGCTACAACAATCATATTAGAGTAATTTGGTAAAATTAATAATGTTATCACTAGCCAACTAAAGGTCATATTCTTGACAAAGGGCCAAGGGCCCATTTTTGTGGTGCATATCATTTAATTTGGTAAGGTCATGTGAAGGATATAGGCATGTATTTGTAAATGAAGATGCAACCACCTCAGATATTTTACAAAATTCTCTCCAATGAAGATATGTAAAATGAAGATTCTTATTCAATAAACTAAAACTCGTTCCCCACATTTAACCAACTAAGTAAAATACCCCTCACCCAAACACCAATTCATATTTGTTATATTATAAAGATGTTTAGAAATTATTATACCAAGCTAGAATAAGCAAATTATAAAGTTGCCTCAGCTGACTTACACCTCTACACAAATGTTATGTATAAACTTCTGCTCAATGTGCAATTGTTATACATGTACACATAAACTAACTTCAAAACTTTCTCAAATAACCAGACAAGAAGAAGATGAATTCCAAAAGCTAGTGGTATTTGGATAATGTAGCAAACAATCATATATGTGGATACAAAGACATGTTTGTGGAGATCAGTAAGATGGTGGAGGTAATGGTTTTTTAGAGATACCTCAAAGATTCAAATTGAAGACATAGGTGCTGGCAATGTTGATGATAAAAGTTAGGAATACCTGGGGTTGAAGCTGGCCTCCTTCTTGATGCGATTGCCGATGGATTTGCAGAAAGCTTTCAGGGCAAGTGTAATATGTGCAAGGATATGCGGAAGATGAAAGAAAACAAAGACAAGATAAACAAAAGATTAGGGTTAGAAGATAGACATAAGTAAAGGAACTAATAGACAATAATGACTACATTAAAGCTAACACCTTCTATTATGAATCCAAAAAATAAGCACCAAATATATAAGATAGCCCTCAAGAAAGCAATCCCATCAATATCTAAAAGCAACTATGGCCTCAGCCTCCTCAACTCTCTCAAGAGTATTCTCAATAACCTCATATCAAAGTAATCTCCAAAAAACGGTAAAATGGGGTACACCCAACTATTTAGTGTTAGGAGATCGAAAAGGTCTATTACAAAAATGACCCAAACTGGCATCTAAAAGTAATGCAAAATGGAGCAAAGCATTCTGCTGGAAGTTCGCATTCGGACAACACGTGGCATACTTGGTCCGTCTGCAATACTGTGGAAGCGAGACAGGATGCACAACACCGAGTTGACTCTGGATAGACTGTCCATTATAGCATACACTGTATGTATGTGGTTGTCCGGGTCTGTATGTGGCATTGTGGATGCATGACTGGGCCTGGCAGTGTTTCAGCTTTCCTTTTCTACTGAGTACGGTCCCTGGTATGGGCCATACGTGACCTCCAACGACTGGGCTTGGCTCCATTCCGGTCGTGATTGCCTCTTCCCCCAACCTCTTTTCAGCTCCGGGTATTCTTTTAGGTGGAGCCTTGTGCTTCCATGTTATCATGTTGTTAATCCCTTCATTCCGAGCACCCTCTTCGCCTTTGAGGTGGCGACTGGAAGTCCAGTCCTTGAACTCCTTAGCTAGGCTCGGTGTGAACGTTCTTTAGACATCTTGGGACGTATGAACATATCCCTAGCTTAAACACTGGGTCTGGTAGTATCATTCTCGCTTCCCAAAACATTAGTTTGCCCATTTCTCCAAAGGAAAGCCCACAAGCGGGTGCTAGCATTTCTAAGCAAAACTACCACTAGAGATATTAGCAATTTTAATAATGATAGTGCTGAGAATTTAATAACTGAAACATATCTTCTATTCCTTCTAGACACTCTTGTTTACCAACAAAAATAATTTTGAAGTCCACATACCTTAAGAAAAAGAAAGAACCTCTATCTTCACAGATTCCGCCCCTTTTCCTTCAAACAACGGAAGGATGGATTATAAATAATCCATTTGGTTTTACCAATCTTGACTCCATGCCAGTCAGGCAAACGATCTTGGACTATGACAGAACCAGGCTCCATGCACTAGATATTTTGAATAATGAAAGGCATGTGCCACAAACATTGAACCAACTCAGAGCGTAGGTTTAGAGTATCAATAGTGTTTTCGCAAAGATAATACTAGCTTGCCAATCTCTTGGCCCTCGTTAGGATGTTATTTTAAGTCAAGCTAGCTTTCAGAGAAGCTGTCCCACCAATTAAAAAGAACAAATTATAAGAGGAAGAGAATTTTTCCGAGTATCTCTGCCAAGTGAGTCCAGAACATCTGCATGGCAAGAGAGGATTGTCTTCTTGTAGTATTTGACAGTCAGCTGAAGGCAAATAGTTTCTGCACTAACAATCCTATTTAGGCCATTCCTCAAATAGTTCTGCTTATCATTCAAACAAGTCAAACGTCCTGCCTCGCCAATTATTGAGACTGCCAAACTATAAATCAAAAAAATTAGCTAGGAGATCAAATTGACTTGATACAAGAAAGGAGAAGAGTTTGCACAGTAGGTGCATTTAATTGATGAAAAAGACAGAAGTTTGAACCCCGATCATCATAAAGCTTAGTATGACAAATATAAATATTAGAAGTAGTAGTTCTCATTTTTGTACCACTGACATCCCTACATTACAGACCAAACTTGAAACTTATATATTATAGAATGAGTCTGATGAATATCAACTCACATCATCATTTTTGTACCAGATAGGTCTAATAAAAAGGCTTCACGAAATTCACCCAGAGAGGCACAGTTTTAAAATGCTTCTCATACAAATAAAGGTTCACTTGAAGTTGATAACAAGTCAAAGTTGGAAATTAAACTGAAACATATACCTGATATTAGTAGCCTAAAAAGTGAATAAAAGCCAATGGAAGTTCAGAAATAATTCCATCATTGTATCAAGGCAACAAAACTAAGGATCACAGCAGCAGAATGATTCATGCATCCGTTGTAGACAAAGGCTCTAACACATTTCTTGGAACCAGCTGCTGCTAGAAAAGATGCAATGATGTAATTGAAGAGTTATTTCCAAGAAAGTACTCGTGGCAGTTAATGGTGTAAATAGGTAGCTCTAAAGTAAAACCATGAAACAGTATCCATTAGCCTAGTGCTCTCCAGAGAGTCTGCATACCTTTCAAAACAACAGATATCTTCGATGCAGCTCTATCCCACGGAGCCCATTCTTAATTCTGGAAAAAATCTTTATGGTAGAAAGAGGATGCTACTCAAAGCAACTCCTAACCAGAATATGCTTGTGAGTTGTCTAAATACTTGCTAGCTTCATCTCCTTCAGTAAGACCTGCAATTCACTATGCAGGCGTTCATTCTGAGGATGTGACGAGGACCCAGCCAGAAATTCATGCACTACTCCATCAATGTTGATCCAGCTACATCCTGGCTGCTTTACTACTCCTTTTTCCTTCATAGACAACCTCAGCCGTGAAATAGCACCCCAGTGATGATCAATGGCATATGTATTGGACAACATCACATAGCCAGCAGAATTGTTAGGGTCCACCTCAACAAGAATGGAGGAAATAATTCGGGCCAATTCCAATCTGTTATGCAGCACACAGCCACCAAGTAAAGCTCCCCATACAAAATTATTGGGTTTAAAAGGCATTGAGGTAGCAACTTGAAGTGCTTCCTCAACATAACCTACTCGAGCAAGGAGGTCAATATAGCTAGCATAATGTTCCAATCTAGGAGCAATTCTAAAACATTGGCTCATTTCCTTAAATATTTGACGGCCTTCTGCTGCCAGCCCTGCGTGACTGCAGGCACATAGCAAACCAAGGAACGTCCCAGCATTTGGACGCAAATTGAGGCCTAGCATTTGTGAGAAAAGTTTTAACGCCTCCTTACCTTTGCCATTTACTGCGAGACCCATGATCATCGCATTGAATGAAACAACATCTTTTACAACCAATTGGTCAAAAACATCCCCTGCTCTCTCTAAACTCCCGCATTTAGAGTACATATCTATCAAAGCAGTGGCAAGATTTGCATTTGAAAGTAAAAAGCTTTTTTGCCTACTACCTTTCATGTACTCATGAATCCACATACCAAGGTACAAATCACCAACTTGAGTACAAGCTGAGAGCACACTAACCATTGTCACATGATTGGGGCAACAACAATTAAGCTCCATCATTAACCGGAAAAGACATAAACCATCCAGAGCACAGCCATTCTGTACGTACGCGCCTATCATAGCATTCCAAGGAAGCAAACTTCTCTTCCCATCACCAGAAATCTGTTCAAATATTTCTCTACTCTTATCAACCTTTCCCCAATTTCCATATAAGTAAACAAGAACAGTATTAACTGAGTCACATCCAGAACATCCCAAATCATACTGCTGCATTGAATACCAAAAATTCCCAATCCATTTCTCAATATTTAACATATCAAGTTTTGAACATGCAGATAAAACATTAATCATAGTATCATTTTCAGGGATCAAACTCTTCTTTACCATACATAAAAACAAACCCAAAGCTTCTTCAGACAAACCAAACTTAGCATATCCAGAAATCAAACAAGTCCAACAAACAACACCCTTGTCAGGCATTTCATCAAACAGTTGACGCGCAGAATGTAACTCTTTTAAACCCCTAGCATAAACACTTAACAACCCATTACATAGAGATGGGTCCTCACCAAATCCCAATTTCACAACAAGGGTATGAACCTGTTGAACATAATATGAATTCCCAGAACGAGAACAAGCTTTAAGAAGAAAAGAAAAGGTCAATTCATTGGGCAAAAGGGACTGATCCCTTAACTTGTTAAATACCAAGAATGCATCAGTAAAAAATCCTTCTTCACTTAGTACTCTAATAATAGCGTTAAAGGGGAAAAGGTTGGGTCTTTTTAACTGATGAAGTATACGAAGGGAAATATTTGATGGGTATTGACCAATAAGGCGAGTAGCTATGAGGTTGTCTTGATGAGCACCAATACGGAAAACCCGAGCATGGATTTGTTTAAGATGATTATGAGAAATGCGGCCTTTTAAGAGGTTGCAGAGAGATGAGGAATGGAGATCAGAAGTTGAGGAGAATGAACGAGTGAAGTTGAGGCAATAATGAGCTATTATGGAGTTGGATTTGATAGATTCAGTACGATAGAGGAGACTCTGCATGTTATTATCGGTCTAGCTCGAATTCACTGACCACCCTTTGCAGAATCCGGTACCGGTTTCTCCGCCGGCCAACAAATTCCGGTGAAGGCGATGGATTTAGTACGATTGGCAAAGACGATTGCAATCGCACAACAAAATGGTTCGAGTCTAGTTCTTCATTATTCAAAAAATCAAATTTATATACTTCCGTTTATTTATCTGATTTTAATTTGACAGGCATGTTTATATACAAACGAACAAATTGAAACGGCAACCAAACCACTGAATATATACTTTATATTGGTTTGGTTTGATTTTGTTAATTTAAAATTGATTAAACTAGTTTAATTTTGATCTTAACTAATAACCAACGCCAACCTGTCATATCCTTATTGGTAGTAAATTTTTGGGCAGTGGTGTTTAAAACATAAGCAATCTGAGGATACTTTGTTAAAGCGAGATTCTTTCTCTCTTTTCATTTCTGTTGATGTAAAGTTATATTAAAAGATTTTGATAAATTTTTAAAATATTGCTCTATATATTATGCTTGTATATTACTATAAAATAGCAGAAATTAGTTATATATCATGTAACAAAACTAAGTGGGGAAAGAGAAAGAAACCTTGAAAATAGAAACAAATTCATATGCACTGTGATACAGATAGTCTGAAAGTACAATATGGTGATGGTGGTAGCAAACCATCAGCATACACCAATTTATGGTAGTTGCACAGTATAACAGAGTAAAACATACAATACACTAAATTTCATCTAAGCCTTCTCTCTTCCGGAGAGAGCAGAGAAGGTAGACAGACACGAAAGCAAAGAAAATTAGAAGGCGACAAATGAAAGAAGCAATTTGATCGAGCTTTGATCCTTGAAAGTCTTCGTTTAACACCAGCAACTCGTGATTTGGTTACTGGGATTACTGCAGACAAAAGGAGCAACCTGGTCATAATCCAACTTCCATGACTTCAATAAACATTAACATCCATCCACAGCTGATCTTGCAAGCCTAATTGCCTCAGAAAAGACCTCTCCATCCTCATCGGCAAAGGGGGGAGCTAAGCTCCATCAGGATCTGTCAACCAAAATAAAAATGTGGATCAGAAACACAGTCTCTTCTCTTAACAGTGCCAGGGAAGAGGGTCATCGTTATACTTTATGTTTGACAATGTCCAGCACACTTTATGTTTAACAATGTCTAACTTACAACATGCAAATCAACTATGGATGACAACTGGAGTTGCAAGATTGTGGTCCCTAAACCTCTAGGATTTGGGCTCCCGATGAATGTCTTTAGCTTAATGGTTTAATGCATAAGTCATGTTTAATTTGCACTCCTAACAAACAGAATGATAAAGCATGTCATATGACACATCATATTACAAGATGCTGAAAAACTAAACTTGACACTCGTAGCAATTGCAGAATAAAACACTACACTTCCCTCGTACTGATGCTCCTGAACGAGCAGCATCAAATTGCAGAAACTGCATGCAGTTCCCTCAGAGCAGCACTTCAAGAAATTGCAGAATGCAAACAGTAAAATAGAACACTATACTCTTTAGTGATGACACACATGAACTGACTGCAACACAACCAGTAGAACAATCGAGGTGTGCGCAAACTGACACGAACGAACACCACTGTTATCAAAAAATACAATTGAACCAACTGCAACACAGCTACCCACCCAAAAAAAAAAGAACGTGAAAGATAGCAGGAAGAAGCACAACCCCAATGGTTGGCACCATCAATGCAAATATCATTCAGAAGACTTTCAAGTAGTTCAAAAGAAAAAGAAAATCTTAGCTTTCTTATTATGAACAAAAATCTTATTTTCCACATTTATGGACCAGTGTTTTGTCTCAAGCACCGGATAAACAAACAGACTCTATAATTGGACCTGCCTGCAACATACATGAGTAATAGCTGCACTTCCACATGAAGTCATGCTCCGTATAGGTATGGCTGGAAGGAAGGTTGGAAATTAAGCATATGACCTCCATCGCGGGGTTGACTGATCCAATGCACAATAGAGTGAATTCTATGTGAACTGCAGTACAAACCCCTTTCCTGTGTGCTGGATGGCAAAGAGGTCTGACAGATTTTTTCAAGGCCTAGGAAAGACTTAACAAACTCTCTAAAAGCTTATATCCCTCTTCTTCACTTCAAGTGTACATCTTGAATGAACTCAGAACATATCTGAGGAAAATTCTAGCACCCTTACCCATGACAGAGTGCAGAGTTCAGAAAAGCTATAGTAATTTAACTCAGTAAAGAGGTACTCATCATAGACTTGGATACACAAGTTGCCAAAAGAAATATCGGCCTACCTCACACTCTCAGAAAATTCATTGCAAATAGAAATGTAGATTGTGGTCCATCTTAGTTCTTACATTGGATGTGTCCCACAATCCATTGATGGAACATGATAGACTATCTATATTTCCTTGCCTTTCTACTAGCCAAAATTAAGCAACATTATTTTGATCCATCCCTCTGTCTATTTCAGTTGGATAGTTGTAGAAAGGGCTGGTGGAAGTTGAAGATGTATTTGGAATTGTTGCAGTTCTTAAGATTTGCGAGTGTTCCATGATTGAAAGAAGAGTTTTTTGGTGAACAATAATTTTCAAATATTTCTTCAACTTCTGTGATTTTCTTTATTAATTTGAAGGGAACACCTTATTTCAAAATAATAATAATACGTTCACTTTTTGCAAAAGATTTGTACAAACAAGATCCCTAAAAGTTTTCCTCAAAAAACTGGGTGAAGTTCTTTGTCGCACTTTTCCAACCAAAAAGCCTCCTCCAACTAACAAAAACAGAACTTCAAAGCTACAGCTATGCAAGTTCTTTTGTATACAAAAAGAAGTATTTCAAAGGTTTTTCAGAATTATCCAAATGGAAAACAAATTACCTCAGATCTTCAAACATACTTTAATCAAATTTAACTACTTCCGGTATCAAACCGAAAGTACTTCAGTCCCCTCATTTCGTCAAGATAGACAGCGCTCTAGATAGCAGTCAGGGTTTCATGGAGTATGGAGGTTATGTTGACAAATGTTATTATAACACCGTAAATAGCAAAAAGTAAAATTGCATAAGTATTCATAACAATACTATTGGACAAAAAAAAAGTAAAGAAAAATAATTTATTAGATGTCAGCTTTGTAAAGGGGAGAGATCTAGAAGTATTTATTTCATAGAATCACCCAAAAGTGTATATTAAATGGTTAATAGATTCATTAGCCCCCTTACAAAGATGACATGGCATCTAATAAATAATATTTCTTTTCTTTTCTTTGTCCAATAGTGTTGTTATGGATACTTTTGCCATTTAACTTTTTGCTATTTACGACGATATAATAGCATTTGTCAACATAACCTCCATAGTTCATACTCCATGGAACCCTACACAGCTATCTGGAGCGCCACCTGTCTCGACGAAACGAGGGGGACTGAAGTGCTTCCGATTTGATGCTGAGAAGTAGATAAATTTGATTAAAGTATGTATTTTGTAATTAATAGAGTTATTAAATTTAACTAAACTAACTGTAGTCATGAATGGCGTTTCAAGTTCTATTGTAAAAGTCATATTTTGTAATTAATAGGATTGCTAATTCCCTAACTTTAGACTTAGGGGTTATAATGGCCTTGGTCATTTTTTGTTGTAAAGGCCATATTTTGTCGTATTTTTGTAATTAATATATTTGTTAATTCCCTATTGTTAGACTAGCAATAGTGATGAATGAAATTCGGCATTATATTGTTGTACTATGTAATCAATACATTTTTTTTTGATAACCGAGAAATCCGTCTGTGACCCGCCCTTTGGACCAATCACAGCCTTCTAAACTCGGTGGATAATGGGCCCGCCCCTCTACCCTTCTCCACTTAAATACCGGGCTTCACTTTGCATGGTGTGGGGCTTGAACCTGCGACCTAAGCCACAAATCCTCCACCTTTTGCCACTTGAGCTAGGCCTTGGGGGCCTATGTAATCAATACATTTGCTAGCTCCCTGACTTCTCTTTTTTCTGTCTAGTGTTTAAGGTCTTCATTTTCCTTTTTATTACTTACTTGAGTTGAACATCTTTTGAAAACAGTCTTTCTACATCCACAAGGTAGGAGGTAAGGTTTGCGTACACTCTATCCTCCCAACACAATAATAGAAAAGACGAGGCATAAAGTTTCAATAAAGGGGTGTTCAATTATTTGCATAGTTTAATCCTAGGGTCCAAGAATGTAAATAAGTTGATCCCATTTAGACGTTCTAAGCTAGGGCTGAAATAGGTCAAAATGAGGTTGGCGATTGCATTTTTAAGTTAATTTTATTTGAAAACCTTTTGGTATTTGTGTTACTTATATCTATATAGCCCGACCCTAACGGACAAATAATATTTCGTTTTGAGGGACACTTTTAGGTGATTCTTTGAAATAAAAGTAGAGTTATGGTCTTGTTCTTGAAAAGAGAAATCTAAGGATAAGGTAATATAAGTAGCAAGACAATAGTAGTAAAGACGAGACATAAAAGTCAAAACATAAACTGAATGCATGCCTTATTTGATTGACTACTATCTATCTATGAAGCCTCTAAACTAAAAATTTGAGTACTGACTTGTTGCAATTTTACGATTTGTGAGTGTTTCGTGATTGGGAAGAGAGTTTTTTGGCAAACAATAGTTTTTAAATATTTCATCAACTTCACAAAGTTCTTCAAACATAGGTGATTTTCTTTATTAATTTTGAACGGAACACCTCATTTCAAATAATAATAATATTACCTTCACTTTTTGAAAAAGATTTGCACAAACAAAATCCCTAAAAGTTTTCTCAAGAAACTGAGTGAAGTTCTTTGTCGCACTTTTTCAACCAAAAAGCCTCCTCCAAGTTCCAACTGACATAAACAGAACTTCAAAGTTACAGCTAGGCAAGTTCTTTTGTATATAAAAAAAGATTTCAAAGGTTATTCAGAATTATCCAAGGTAAAACCAGTAGGCTAAATTTGAAATGAATCACAACTTTTTTAGAACACTTTCTTCAAAGCAGAAAGAGGGAATGAAACACCAAAAAACATTTTGAGATAAACAAAATTGAAAAAGCATGTTTGAGTTAAGGAAACATGATTTGTTTGCTAACTACTTATACTTTTAGGGAACACAAAGAAACATCTACAGAATATTCGTGATAG